ATGCGTCCCACTTGCCGCCTCGGGAAGAGCCAGCAGCACCACTGCGCCGCCCAGCTGTTCCCCATGTCATCTTGCGGAGGGGGCGCGCGAGGGAGCACGCGCAGAACAGCGGGCCGCGCGCGGAAGGAAGCGGCCGTTAAAGTCCCCAACCGCCCGCAGCGCCCGCGTTCGGCGACGGCTTCCCTTGACAACTCGAGGGGACGCCGAGGCCGCCGCAGCCCAAAGGCAACACGTCCACCGCCACGACCGGCGGCGGCGCTAGCGAAAGAAAAGGCGGGCCGACGGCGGTGACGAGTGCCGCTGTCCCTTTGTGCGCGTGTTTGAAAGGGCGGGGAGGGTAGACAGCACCACACGAACCTCCTCCCCGCCTCATGACGCTCCCCCCCCTCACCCGCCACTCCCTCGAAGGCTGCCAGGCCCAGCGTCCCGAGCCGCCTCGAGCCCCGCCCCCTTGTCCCTTTGAAGCCCCGCCCCTTCTGCTCTTCATTGATGGCTCCGGCCTCGGAGTCCGGAAGAAGGAGGCTGAGCGAGCATGCGCACAGGGGAGCACGCCACCTCTGGCTTCTAGCTTGCTTTTTCTTGGTGGTGTATGTGCGCCCCCGCCCGAGGCAAAAGATGTTTGAAAATGCCATGATGAAGTGGGGGGGGGTATGACTTCATCGTGAGTGGAGCAGTGATGCTTCTGAGTGCAATAAAGGCGTTGAGTAAAACATGCAAGCCCAACAGATGCCGGGACACGGAGAGCTTCCAGGACGAAGAGTCAGCCTCATACTGTATTTATTATGAGATTTGTCTGTGTCATTAAACCCCGGGATACATTTTCAGTGCCAAGACTCAGCCCTATGCTTTCGTGATGAGAGGTAACAGGGAAGCCAGTTCTTTCGGAATACGCCGATTGTGATGATGCTGTCGATTTACGGCGTCCGCCGTTGCAGTTTGTATAATATTCTCGAAGGTCTGAGAAGCTACATTTGCAGTTGCTTGAATGGTAGTACAGTTGGCTTCGCTTGCTTGGTAGGCGTCTATGATTCCCTGGGTACCCTTCTTGGAGCTTTCAGCTTCGGAGCGCTTAATTGATGATGTTACTTTGACCTTGGCAGCTGCTGTTTTTATTGTTGCAACGTCAGTGGGTATGTTCCTGTAAATTTGTTGAGTCCAGAAAAAAAATGAGATTTAAAAGCTAAGATATGAATCTCAAGCTAATATTTCCACCCAATATATCTCAAATGCTTGCATTCCAATCTGTTACTGGCTTAATTTGAGAGCTCTCCTCCCAAACTAGTTAAAAGCACCACAAAGAGCAATATTGTGACCAAGATGCAATAGAGTGCAGAGTCAAATCAGATCTAATGCTTTTGATTGAAGAATAAATGCCCATCGCACAACCATGTGAGCACCTTATGACTGTACATAAAGCCTTTGCATGGTCGCCTCTAACCCAGAGTTATCCAACAGGATGCAGCTAATGGAGGTTTTATGAATCCTTTGAGAAGCAAAGAGCTGTGATACAAAATGCACTTACCAAGAAAATACTTCCCTTGAAAATATTAAAATGTAGCTCCTAATCAGTATGTTTAGGATTAGAGGGTTAACTCTAATCTTAAATGAGTTGTGCACAAGCATGAGATCTTTCATTGCCCTGCTGGATAGAAATAGCAAAGGTGTGGTTGGGGAGAAATTTCTTGTTGTAATGGCAAGGCAGTGGCTTAGTTTAGAGGTACAGTAATACCAAAATAATTGGTTTGGCATTACGTGCACAAATATGCAGAAGACTCAGGCTAGTGTACTTCACATCAAACTTACAGTACTTCTAGGTTCCTGGCAAACCATGATTAAAAGTATATCTGTGTGTGTTTTGATCCAGCGGATAGTTTGTGGAATTGGAAGAAACAGTAAATTTGCCAAAAACTCTGAAGTACCTTAAGAAATTACAGTCTGCAAAGAGAGGAAGGAGAGAGTCCTCAAACCCAATGTCTGTCTGCTTGTGTAGAGAGAGCATAATCGATGTCAAGATTTGGGATGTGAGAGATGGCTCCGAGAGAAGTCAGCCTTCCAGGTTGACAGCAAAGAGACTCAGATAGACAGTAGGTTCATTCACCAGCAGTGTATTTATAGACTGTGTACAATAGAACTATGTACAGTCAACAGACTCAATAATGCATTTTCAGCAAATAAACAGACAGCACTTCGTGCAGCAACTCCAACACAACACTCCACACATCACCATAGTGTGTAGTACTTATATAGTTTGAACAACCAATCACCAGGCACATCATCTGATGTCTTCTCCCTGACATTACCCCATGTCCAATACACATTTCATGTGTCACCCCCTGGATTGCATCAGCTTCATGTGCTTACTCTGGCAGCACACTTGTTTTAAGACAGATGCCTGTTAGCAAACATTGGTTCATGTACTACAGAGTAAATTCTATACACAGTGTATATGTATGTATGTATGTATGTATGTATGTATGTATGTATGTATGTATGTATGTGTGTGGTGTGTGTGTGTACACACACACACACACACATAATATATATACACACACATACATACATACTCACAGTATATATATATATACACATACATACACACAGTATATATATATACACAGTGTGTGTGTGTATATATATACACACACAGAGAGAGAGAGAGAGAGTATATATATATATATATATACATTTTGTCATTAAGCAACTTGAGGCCAGTTACAAATTGTAACAAATGACATTTAAAATCCCATTAAATTACAGAAATTTATAAAATTTTGTGTAGGCATTTTGCAAATTGACCCGCTGGTTTATTTACTTCTGTAATGTCTTCTTCCCTGTAGCGGCACCTAGGTGAGAATTGGATGTGAGGTCATGGATGGATTTATTTATGAAATTACATGAAGTCTCATGCCCCAGAGCTCAAGATTTTGAGTATTGATCAAGTCACTTCTGATTTATGGTGATCCGTATAGATAGATATAGATATATAAGTTTGTATTAATATGCATGGTGAGCGACTGATACACAAATGCACACACAATGTGCAATTGCTATCATGATGCTATATAAGTCAGTCATTTTAAAACGGCACATGCATTCAAGGAAAAATGTGTGAAATTAGTTGTGAAGCCATCCTACAATGTTTGCAAATAGAAAGAGGGTGCTATTAACATATATAGCACATGAATTAGGAAATGTGACACACCATAGCACGATTATTACAGTAAAGTTCAGAGAGAATGTGCTCTCTCCACGATTTGTTATAGAACGTATACTCCAATAGCACGCAAAACATTTTTTCTATGTGAATGAAAAACAACAGTAAATTGCAACTGGCAGAGACTATACAAATTGCAAGCAGTTGCCAAAGAAAGTTGAAGGGCAGAATGCAATCATATGTTACCCAGCATGGGTCAAAATCAGTGTTTTTCACAGATTACATTAGTATCCTACTGACTTATTTATTCTGTGTAACAATGTCTACCTTCTAATGTAACAACCCCTAAAAATATTTAGCTCTATATTTAATTCTGTAGTACAGAAATAAAAAGTGTATATACTCTAAAACAATTAGGATTGCCTTGTATTAGTTTGGATACCATATGTTTTCAGTCTAATTGGAAATGAAATTGAAAGAAGATTGAAACAACAGAGTTTATATTTAAGTCTGCCTCAAAATGCCACATTGACATGTTACTTTGACATAAACATTCTGTTTGTAGCAACAGATCTGTTACAAATATTTCTATTTTCCATATTCCAAAGGAAGGCAAATGGTTAAAAAAGAGTGAACATGTTTCCAGTTATAGACTGGCTTATTTTGTCTTAAAAAATAATGAATGACTAGAAAAACAACACAAAATACCCTGTTGCTGCTTGAAATTGGATATACAATATAAAGTGTCTGTGGGTTCAGTTTTATCAGTAAAAGACACCATCACTGTTATCTTGGTGAAGGTGGCATTGGATAAAGCATGTGTTTTGCCTTCTGGCAAAAAAACCTTATTGGTAGTCCCAATCTTCCTCCATACACTGAAAGCAATGGGATTTACATAAATATTGACTTTCCACTAAACAATTGCTTCAGTGGGTCTACTCTAGTTGGGCTATCAGTGGGATTCTCACTTCTGAAGTTAAAGTCGTTACAGTGTCACATTTTTGGCTAGAAATAAGTAGGGAGGAGAAAAACATGACAAAGGAACCAAAGAAACTTATCAAAGCCTAACATCTGTTTCAAAAGTTAAGGAGTGCTACAGGCAATTACATCTGTTCTCTCCTGTTCAATATGCATGCTACTACTATGAACGGTTTCCAACATAATGCAATACATTAAAAAAAGAACGAATCCCTTGCCCAAACCACAGAAATATAAAACAGCCCTCACCAAACGCGAATCCCTTGCCCAAACCACAGAAATATACGTAAAACAGCCCTCACCAAACCCAAGATGGTAACAACAAATCTAGAGAGACGAAATCCAACATATAAATGAAATAACAGCAGTTATAAGGGGAGGATATAATGGAATGCTTATCTTGAAAGCATTGTTTTTTAATGCTTTCTGAATATTGGATGGGAAGGGGCCACACACACTTCCACTGGCAGCATATTCCATAAGAAGGACGCCACCACTTAGAAGGCCTGGTTCCTAGTCATAGACTTCTTGGTCTGTATTTGAATAAATGTAGATTGTTGAACATGAAAAAACAAAACATCCCCTGAAAATAAGCCCTAATGTGCTTTTTGGAACAAAAATTAATATAAGACCCTGTC